GTTTTTCAACGTGTAACTAAAAGAATCAACATTGAGAAATAGCGAAATTGTATATTAATATAGATTTAACGACATTCCAACTAAATATACAGTTGCTGGAGCGGAAATAACGCGCAAGTTTGACAAAGTATCAGGATTTATACGCAAACTGGATGCAACTAGTGCAACAGTGCAGCATGCAGTGTTCGCGTTCAAAACTCGTACCAACTGTCCAGGACAAATATTGTCCATAGAAAGTTTTTCAACGTGTAACTAAAAGAATCAACATTGAGAAATAGCGAAATTGTATATTAATATAGATTTAACGACATTCCAACTAAATATACAGTTGCTGGAGCGGAAATAACGCGCAAGTTTGACAAAGTATCAGGATTTATACGCAAACTGGATGCAACTAGTGCAACAGTGCAGCATGCAGTGTTCGCGTTCAAAACTCGTACCAACTGTCCAGGACAAATATTGTCCATAGAAAGTTTTTCAACGTGTAACTAAAAGAATCTACATTGAGAAATAGCGAAATTGTATATTAATATAGATTTAACGACATTCCAACTAAATATACAGTTGCTGGAGCGGAAATAACGCGCAAGTTTGACAACGTATCAGGATTTATACGCAAACTGGATGCAACTAGTGCAACAGTGCAGCATGCAGTGTTCGCGTTCAAAACTCGTACCAACTGTCCAGGACAAATATTGTCCATAGAAAGTTTTTCAACGTGTAACTAAAAGAATCAACATTGAGAAATAGCGAAATTGTATATTAATATAGATTTAACGACATTCCAACTAAATATACAGTTGCTGGAGCCGAAATAACGCGCAAGTTTGACAACGTATCAGGATTTATACGCAAACTGGATGCAACTAGTGCAACAGTGCAGCATGCAGTGTTCGCGTTCAAAACTCGTACCAACTGTCCAGGACAAATATTGTCCATAGAAAGTTTTTCAACGTGTAACTAAAAGAATCTACATTGAGAAATAGCGAAATTGTATATTAATATAGATTTAACGACATTCCAACTAAATATACAGTTGCTGGAGCGGAAATAACGCGCAAGTTTGACAAAGTATCAGGATTTATACGCAAACTGGATGCAACTAGTGCAACAGTGCAGCATGCAGTGTTCGCGTTCAAAACTCGTACCAACTGTCCAGGACAAATATTGTCCATAGAAAGTTTTTCAACGTGTAACTAAAAGAATCAACATTGAGAAATAGCGAAATTGTATATTAATATAGATTTAACGACATTCCAACTAAATATACAGTTGCTGGAGCGGAAATAACGCGCAAGTTTGACAAAGTATCAGGATTTATACGCAAACTGGATGCAACTAGTGCAACAGTGCAGCATGCAGTGTTCGCGTTCAAAACTCGTACCAACTGTCCAGGACAAATATTGTCCATAGAAAGTTTTTCAACGTGTAACTAAAAGAATCAACATTGAGAAATAGCGAAATTGTATATTAATATAGATTTAACGACATTCCAACTAAATATACAGTTGCTGGAGCCGAAATAACGCGCAAGTTTGACAAAGTATCAGGATTTATACGCAAACTGGATGCAACTAGTGCAACAGTGCAGCATGCAGTGTTCGCGTTCAAAACTCGTACCAACTGTCCAGGACAAATATTGTCCATAGAAAGTTTTTCAACGTGTAACTAAAAGAATCAACATTGAGAAATAGCGAAATTGTATATTAATATAGATTTAACGACATTCCAACTAAATATACAGTTGCTGGAGCGGAAATAACGCGCAAGTTTGACAAAGTATCAGGATTTATACGCAAACTGGATGCAACTAGTGCAACAGTGCAGCATGCAGTGTTCGCGTTCAAAACTCGTGCCAACTGTCCAGGACAAATATTGTCCATAGAAAGTTTTTCAACGTGTAACTAAAAGAATCAACATTGAGAAATAGCGAAATTGTATATTAATATAGATTTAACGACATTCCAACTAAATATACAGTTGCTGGAGCCGAAATAACGCGCAAGTTTGACAACGTATCAGGATTTATACGCAAACTGGATGCAACTAGTGCAACAGTGCAGCATGCAGTGTTCGCGTTCAAAACTCGTACCAACTGTCCAGGACAAATATTGTCCATAGAAAGTTTTTCAACGTGTAACTAAAAGAATCAACATTGAGAAATAGCGAAATTGTATATTAATATAGATTTAACGAACAATTACGAGTACAAAAGATTTTTTTTGTGCGATCTAAGTCAAATTATTTAACTTATTTCGTTACTTTAATTTAACTTTCTGTGGTTGAACCACACTGCAACTATATTATAGTTGTAGTTCGAATGGATCAGCTCACCAATACCAGCGTAGAATAGAAGCTTAATGCTGCTGTTTTATTTGGTGAGTTTATAGTACCGGATACCATTTTACTGGAAACGAAGTATTCCGATATTATGTCCCCAGAGGTGACAAAGCATCTGCATTTTGATTCTTAGTTGAGGATAAATGAAGATGTATGGGTGACAGCATCTACTTATCATCAGGTGGACACGGTGCTCGCTTGTCCCCCTTATTATATTTAAAAAAAAAATAAAAAAAAGTATTTTGTTAGTGAGAACTATTCGCATTATTAAATTATTTTACATGACACGGCGGTGCGGTGGCATAAAATAATCCATCATTTAATTTCGTTTCTTCGATATCATAAGAGGCGACTATGAAACATGATAGAGATACGAGGGGCCTTCAATGTATTCTCGGCTTTAGTGATTTTTTAATAATGTTGGTAATTAAAAATAATAAGACAAAGACCAAGGGAGTGCTGCTTCGTCATGACAACGCATCGGTTCAAACGACAAGGCTCTCCAGGCTTCCGTACGAGACTGCAGGTTTGAGGAAATTAACTACCCACCATACACCACAGATCTAGCCCCTAGTGACCACTTTTTATTCCCAAACATAAAAATACCTTCGGAGAAGACGATTTGTAGACGCTAATCAGCTCCAGTTCGCTGTAAATGAGCATTTTTCAGGCCAAGAAGAAGAATATTGTTTCAAGGACATAGAAAATCTTTTTTCACGGACAAGTAAATGTATTGATGTCAAGAGAGACCATATTGAAAAATAAAAAATATTTCATAAATTTGTCTTTTTTCTAACTTACCTATACCGAGAATACATTGAACGCCAAGTCCAAGGGAGGTTTTCTAGGATGTATAAATATCCAAAGTAACACGGGAGGTATTTTAACAAAAGGATAGTAAGCTTATGTAGAACTTAAGGTTCTTATAAACTCTTATATAAGTTTACTGAGAATCTTGGCGCTTTGCATTGGCATTTTAAAACCATTATGATGCTTTACACTGCATAACAGTTAAATAATGGGCATATCAAAATGCTTTTGTAAAGCCTTTAGTTTTAGGACAGCAAACCACAACACAGGTGTAGAGATTTAATAGCATAAAAATAAACCAATATAATGCCACGTAAATCCTCTATACAGCTTTCAACAGTTTTTATTTATTTATTTATTTATTCTTTTCTGTACACCACAATACAGAAACATCAATATAGTTAAAACTAATTAAAGTATGTACAATAGGCGGTCTTATCACTCTGAAAGTGATTTCTTCCAGACAACCTTTGCATAGAGGAATGATGCAAACAAAAGTTACAAATAGAGGGGGGCATAAAAAATAATAATAAAAAAGTAGTAAGTTTTTAGTGCCTTAAGGTCCACAATAGCATTTTTAAGTAGTAAGATAATGCGTAATGCTGCTTAATTGAATAAACTTCTACCATTATAATGCACCGTAAATCCGTTATACATCTTTGAGTTGTTTTTAGTACTATTTGTAGTGCTTTTAAGTGGTAAGTAAAAGCCTGGTGAACAGCATAAACATGAATCAATGTAATGCTTGCATTTTTTTAAGATCATGATCAAAAGTTCTGTTTTACAGTTAACAGCTCTTTAATGAAATGCACATAATTTATTGTAACGCGTAAAGCTGTCTACATATTCATTTTACTGTATTGTAATACCATTTGTCGGCCACATTGTGGGGAAAAGCAACATACGCACATGTTTGCTGATCATATATTTTTTTTTAGCGTAGCGTTTAAGTAATGGCACTACTTCAGTCTACATCAAGTCTACTAGTATAACACAGCTGAATCCATATAAAACTACTTAATAGAAAATGACACTGCGGTGTTTTTTTTATATAGGAGAGGGAGCAAATGAGCGTACGGCTCACCTGATGGTAAGTGATTACCGCCGGCCATGAACAACCGCAACACCAGGGGAATTGCATGTTGAATTGCGTTGCCGGCCTTTAGAAAGGAATAAGCTCTTTTCTTGAAGGTCCCTGGGTGAAAGATGTTGATGTGCATGGCCGCAATTAGCAGCAGTCCATGCTCAAAAGATAACAAAGTTAGCTATAAAGTGAGGACCTATATAGCGGAAAACTTTTGAAAAGAAGATAAGAAATTAAGTGTTTAGTCTCACAATTAAAAATCTAAACAAATATGGCTTTGAGTTATGTTATAATGCAAGACAGGATCCTGATGGTCGGAGAGCATCAAACGTGATCACGTAAAATATGAAACTGCTTCAATGACGCCTCAGCCTAATTGTACAGGCTGCGTAAACACAGGTGCTGTATACATCGCAGCTGGTGAACAACGCATGCAATTGTTATGTGGTCTGAGACTATTATTGTTTAAATTTATTGACAACATTTTTTTAATGTTTCTGTTAAGAAAATACGCATATATCTATTTTATTGAAATTAGGGACAAAAAACAAAAACATTTTACAATTATGTAAAGTGTAAGAAAGACTCTTTTCTCACAATTCATTCTTTGTAAAGACAAAGAATGAATTGTGAGAAAAGAAGCCGTTTACCGGAAAAGGAAGAAAGGACAAAACGGCAAAATATTGCCAGCATGCCACAGATTTTATCCGTATAATAATAGAAAATTAGGTATGTTATACTTATTATAAGACTCTCACACTCACTCATGTGGCGCAGTGACCCAGAAGTGGGTCTTGGCCTTCGAGACCAGAACATGCCTCTTTTCCCTGTTCTGCGCAAGCTCTCTCCAGTTGTCGTCAGCTTGAAGCGCTCGCAGGTCAGCTACCACCCGATCGCTCCAGAGGTAATTGTGTCGACCAATTGGACGTCAGACAACCCAAATTTGTTATTTTTATACTTATTATAAAAAAATTGTTATGTTTAATTCTCAACAGTATCAATAATTTTATATGCAAGCTCAATGTACGCTACTTTCTGGACCTCCTTGGGTTACTGGCATTAAATAAAATTCGCAGAGGTCAGAGTTACTTCGTATAATGACGCTAGACAGAAAAGGAGCGCCTTGAAGTGCTTGCGAAAGGGGGTACATGTATTTCAACTTTGGTTTCTTTTCATGAACGAAAAATTGACGACATTCTGATTCAAACGTAAATAGACGGACAGCTTTTCTCCTCAAATGCCAAGACATTAAAAGTAGAGTTTAAATACTCTAATTTTAATGTCTTGGCATATAGATATTTTTAAAAAGGAAGGTACTTAAAACTCCCACAGCCTACCAGCGGATCGGACTTCCTTTTTGCTTGTAATGGAACATTGCAACATTACACTCGGATGTGGTGGTTAATCGAAGATAAAAGTAAATGTATATAGTCACACAGGAAAGAAAGTTAAAAAGTATATACGTCATGTATAGAACCTTCCTGTTTAATTGAACTCAGATAATATAAGTATAAATTTGAAACAGACAGAGAGTATTAAAATCTCATGGAGATGCATTTTCAAACATGAAAATAGCTTTACGCTTTTGAATATTTAAGTAACTGCTAGGGCTGTCACAGGCGGTCATCTGTATCGTATCGAATATCCTACAATATCACTCTTGACAAAAATCAAATTACACTCATTTTTATAGGTACGTTTCTATGGGCTTGTAACTAATTTCCTAAAAGCTACGGTGTTTCAGTGGCTAAGCGCTGGGTGTAAGTACGCAAGTAACTCCGATACGAGCCTGATTCGAGTGCTGATTTACCACGTGCTTTGCGGTATAGAGAAACATGGCGTGGAAACATGAATGTTTATGAAATCATACAAAATATTTCGAAGACATATGAAGAACGCCAACACGCATTAAGGCAGCACGATAAATACTTTCCTGCCCTAAAATCCTCTTAGAAATAAGACTAACTTGAATCATATTCCTCGGGATTAATGTGTGATTAAATAACATGTAAATCAAATTTAAAAGCAGCATTGTGACGTTAAAAGGCAGCGATGAACTAGTTTTGAAGGCCATATTTCGAAATAGATACATAAGAATATATATAGATCTACATATACATTAGAAATCTATGTAAAAAATATCGTGATAAGCCTCAATACATTTTAAAGAATGTAAGTGTGGCCAATCAACTACGAAATCCAAAATTATCGTTTCCAGGAAAACAAGAGTTAATACTTCCTCAAAAGTTGTTAATTTTTCAACAGCGAGTCCGGCACTGGCAAGGTAATATACGGCGCGCGCAGCACGAGGAAGGAAACGGCATTACCATACGACGTCCGCCAGGAACAAGCCGGCAAGTGCCCGCCGCCGCTTTGATACCGAATAACGCATGATGACGTTCAAAGCATTCTATGCAAATTATAACATTAATATGTAAGTTAAATTAGTAGTTGGCATTTCATATTGATTTCAATTTATTTCAACCTTTATAGATATTCCGGTGACCAAAACACTACAAATACTTCTTTTCGTCTTTAGGTATGGCTACATATTTCTAAATTCTTCATGCGATACTGTGAGCGCTTGCAACCAGCTGAGCTGCATGCAAATTTACAGAGTTTTTTTTTTGAAAACTTAGCAATGTGTGTTCGAGATATCATTACCTTTTTTTGTTCAAAACTGGCTGCAGATGCACGTGATTCATGCACTGCATTAGTTCCTTACTAATACCATCAGGTGAACTGGGACTTTGTAACATCAGTTTTATAAAAAACGCACTCATCTAAAATTATCGATCTTAAATGTATCGCTTATATAATAAAATGTGATAGAAACGAAGATGAGGTCTCACCGACTTCACAACACCTGAAGACTCGCTCTCGTCCAGATCAGACCTGAACCCAATGAATGTATCTTAACAGATTCAGATTGTGGTTGCGTCTCTCAAGAAATTTTTAGAACCAGCAATGGTTAAGTTCCCCATAGATACATTGCGTAAGTCCATAGATCCGTGGCCAGAGAAATGATCTGTATGAAAGCCAAAGTGGCCACTTTGAATAAAATTGTTTTATTTAATCGCTTAGACTACTATAAACACACACATTGTAATTTTATTATTGTAACACTGTTGGTATAAAAAGATATGCATTTGAATTTGTAACAGAATATATGATCATGGATATATCTAAACATTGAAAAAAGCATCAGGGAGTGTAAACAAAAATAATAACTTAATACATTCGCGTCCCTACCGTAGTTGTGTCAGAAAAATGAATTCAAACTGCAGTTTGCGAATTTTATTTTGAAAGTGTGGTTTTAAAGCTAGGATTAAAGTATATTTAATACGGCAATTTTTTTACTTACTTTTCCCATGCTTTAGTACCTGCAACAGCTTTATGCAGTAGCTTTTTTAAACAAAATCTAGAACATAATAGGGCTTCGTTATATCGGAGGAAAATAGTTGGTTGCTATATTTACAAACCTTTGTAATATAAAATTCGTCTATTTGTGATGGCGTAACTTCTGGACGTCTAAACAGATTGATGTCATATCCCTGTAACGTATTTATTTATCGGCGCGATGGTTCATAGCCATGTTGGGATCCCATATGTGGTTTTGGTATTGTCGTCTTTATTAACATTTCTATATTTATGGACTTTTTTTTTTTTATAGGATAGGGTGACAAACGAGCACACAGTCCACCTGATGGTAAGTGGTTGCTGCGGCCCATAGACATCTACATCTATCTTCCATTACAAATCAAAATGCAGATGCGTTGTCACCCGTGAGGACTGAGATGGAATGCCTCATTTCCAGTAAAAAGGGTCTCCGGTTCTCTACACTCACCATACGAAATACAGCAGCATTAAGCTACTATTTCACGCTGGTATTCTGTGAGAGCGTGGTCCTTCCCCGGTCGAGCCGACCCATTCGTGCTACAACTATACTACTAATATAATTGCAGCATGGCTCTACCACGTATAAAGTCATATTTACAAAATGTATCACTCAATTACTGGAAAGGGCAGAACAATGTCTGCCGGGCCAGCTGATTACATTATGTACCTGTAAAATGACTAATAAGTAAATTCTATAAAATAAAAAAGAAACGGAAAAACTGCTTAAAGATAACATTCGCCTTGTCAATATCTATTCTCGCAACATATTTAACTGTTAAGGATTTTAATTATCAAAACCTACAAACGCAATTGAAGTCTCGGTCTGTAGTATTGAATAACGCATTTCTATTAAGCTCATTAATGTATAATATGTGGTGGTAAAATAATAAATGGTATTTGATTTTACAGGCGAAGCCGATGCGGGTAGCTACTAGAATATGTAACTGTTGCTTCTCATAGAATTGACAAATGTTGGAAACGAAAAGTTCTCTTTTTTTCTATAACAGGGGAATAATGCAAACGTGGATGCGGCTCACAGTATCAGGGGATGGTAAGTGTTGACCGCCCGCTCCTGAACATCTGCGACACCAGGGGAGTTGCAAGTGCATTGTCGGCTTTTTAAAAAGTAGTAAGCTCGTTCCTTGAAGGTAGAAGCTCCCTAAGTCGTATCGGTGCGGAAAAATTGCCGCTGATAAACAATTCCCCAAAAAAGTCGTAGTGTATCGCACAATAGTGCACCGCCAAGCATCCAGATGATGTGGATAGTAACGTGTGTTTAGTCGCAATGTGCGTTATTATAATTTGGCGGCTGGAATTAATCCAAACAATAAATTTTCTTATAGTGTTAATTAATACGTTTATATGAAGGTCGTTAAATGCACATTATTATGTGCTACGATGATGATGATGGATCACACCACACAGACACAGAGCAATGATAAATTTAATAAAGAAATAAAAACATGTATTTTTAATCGATTCTATTTTTGTCTATTACTAGCAAAATTTTATAGGCCATAAGTCGCGCTGCACCAAAAGTAACGACCAGCGCCGGATTATAAATGCCATGCGCCTGTAACAGCTACCATTCGTTATGTTATTAAGCGGCATGCACTTAAAGACTTAATTTTATTACTCTATCAGGTTTTAAAATAACTTGCGCGGCACTTCGCCACAAAGTTTGCGATGTTGCTTTTACTTTGATCTCGTAAATAGGATCATAGATTTATATCACAGAAACCTAGTGGCTGCAAGTGCATGGTGGCATTTCGAACAAAGACTTATGGCTTACTTCGCCATCATGTATTACGGGTATCTCAAAACACCAATAAAAATAATTAGATGTCAATGATGAAGGAAAGAAAAACTTTATAAACTCTGTACTTTTGGACCAATATGCTGTGGTCGCTCAGGGGCCAAGCGCTCATCGTAAATTTCACTGTACCTACGAAAGCAACCCGGAAGTGATCTCTGGTATCCGCGGGTGGAATAAAACTGTCAATTGCAATTTTAAGCGCAGCTTTATAAAATTCTCGGCCGTAAAGGAAAACGTCGTGATAAAACTACATATTTTAACTCCCTTATCAATGAGAACTGGATTAGGAGTAGGAAGTGTATTGACTGTAATTTATATAAAAAAATTACAGTCAATACTGTATTTATTTTATATGTTTGAACTTTGCTATATATGTTTGAACTTTTATCATTTATAGGATGCAAGCAGAAGGAAGAGTCTAGTCATTTTCGCTATGGAAATTTAGGGTTTTTTAAAATCTAATTTCTTGAAAATTATTCTTATTTAAATACCCTTTTTAAATAGACTCACATTTTTGTTGTTATTTTTTAAGCTATTGCCATATATAACTATTAAATTTCTTAGTCTTAACGAAAACAAGCACAGGCATTACAAGTACAAGCACTCAGATATAAAAATATAAATAAAAAATAAAATTTCTAATTGAATGACGGCGACATTTAAGGATTGTCAGGCAAAAGACGTCGCACTTAAACTGGGCATCAAAACGTGTGATATTTGTTCGGAAGGCAATATAGATGGTGTCGTATTCGGCATTTGACTATGCAAACTTTGGCGAGTGATCCAAATGGGACCAGCTTTGCGACGTACCGACGCATACAATATGTTAATTTTCAAAAAACGAACTTGAAGTTCCCCTGATGATAAATTATAGTCAACTTTATACAAAGTAGGCTACCGATACGTTTTCATATAGGAAAACTAAGACGGACTACCTCATGATAGCGTGTAATTATACCGATTCTTCAGAGCGGAACACATCAGTATAGGCATTGGTATTTAGCGGCAGAAATAGGAAGGGGGGGGGGTTGCCCAAAGAACCTCCAGATAGAAAAGATGTCCTACCATCTAGTAAATTTAACTGAGATTAAAGGTGATTTTATACTGTGTTAGTATTGTTCTGAAATCATATAAATGTAGTCTCCGTCGACTTACAGAATAGGAGAATATATCGATGAAACATGTTTCCTTTAACATAATAGAATTAAATAGAGAATTTCTACTTGGTAGAGCAAAGGTGCAGCTTTATTATTACTGCAGAACAAATGGGTTGGCCCTACCCTACAAAAACCACATTCACTCAGAACATCAGCGCAAAGACGTAATAACACGTAAATTTTTATTTGCAAGAATAACGGTATAAGATGTTGTAATTTATCCGGTGCTGTCATATTTTGCTAACAATAGAAGCACGATAGAGCCATGCTGCAGCAAAATTATCGTTGCAGCTCGAATGGGTCGGATCGACCGGGGAAGGACCACGCTTTCACAGAATTCCAGCGTAAAATAGCAGCTTATTACTGTAGTGTGAGTGCAGGTGACCGCACTCTAATTTAATATAATACGTATTACTTGTGAGATACATGAAACCACAATGTATCTCACAAGTAATACGTATTATATTAAATTAGATTGCTTAATGCGATTGCCAAGTCAATCTATATATTTAAAATATAAAAGACTTTTAAAATTGATATGGTCACTATAAAATGTTGTTAGGTTAGGTAATTACGTAATAACTTAAAACAGAAGGACCCTTAAGTAGGAACTGAATAAATTAACCGACTTGGTATTACATGGATCTCACAACTTTTTACGGTAGAAGAACTGAGTTGCGAGACTTGGTTTTTTTTTACAAGTTATGTTTTTAATTGCATCTCATTTCTTTTTGTATATAAGATAGTCTTAATTTTTTACCTTTCCAGTACCTTCTACTTCTTGAGTACCAACAACGTACCTATGTACACCTGTAATACATATACAAGTACACTGGTACATTCACTGCAAATGTAACTTTGTAATTCTATATATTTATAAGGGATTACAAAGTTATTTATGCAGTTAGTGTATCTAGAAAACTGGACAGAAATTAACAAATGTTTTAGTTTTTCCTTGATTTATACTCTAAACACTAATTGAATTCTAAATTTGAAGCTTCTATGTCCGCTAGAAGTGCCTT